AGCCAGTTTGGGTAGGCTACCTCCCTCACTGACCCATTCGTCAACAGCTTGTCTACCTCATCCTCCATGACTTGTCCTCTTTTTGTACTTACACTCCTCAACTTCTGGCAGACATGCATGTATTTAGGGTTAACATTGAGTCGGTGGGAGGCCACCTTGGGGTCGATGCCCTCCAAGTCTTCATGGGACCAAGCTAAGACGTCTGTGTTTCTTTTGAGGAAGTCTACTAAGGTAGATGCCTGCTCTTGGGAGAGTGAGGAGCCTATGTAGACCTTTCTCCCTGGAAGCTTGTCGTCGACTGCTACGGGTTGAAACTCTTCTGCTGGTTCACCCCTCTCTAAGGTATTGTCGTCCCTCGGGTCAAGCACCTCGACTTAGAGAGTCTCCTATGGTCTTCTGGCCCTCATAGATGCCACATAACACTATCTGGTTGAGACCTAATCTCCTCTTATCTCCTTAATCCTACTAGAGGTCGAGAAACGGAGGAGAAAGTGGTATGTTGATGGCACTGCCCTTAGGGCATTGAGGGCAAGTCATCCAAGAATTATATTATATACAGAAGGACAATTAAGTACAAGAAAATTTACCATAACAGTAGAGCTCCTTTGTGCAGTTCCTACTGTGACAGGCAGGATGATAGATCCCAAGGGATGAACTCTCTCTCCTGAGAAACCAACCAAGGGAGTCATGACTGACTGTAGTCATTCTCTACCGAGGTGAAGGCTGTCATAGATTATGGAAAATAGGATGTTGGTTGAGCTTCCGCTCTCGACTAGGACTCTCCTGACCTGGTAGTTGGCCATCATCAAGGTTAAAACTAGAGGGTCATCATGTGAGACCTGAATTCCCTCAAGGTCTTTGTCTGAGAAGGTGATGACTTCCTCCTCCCCACGTTGGGGTGTCTTCATCGGGCAAGAGTTATATGACTCTACCTGTTTGGCTCTCCAGGTGTGCGCTTTCTTGGCGGAGTTAGAATCACCTCCTCCTATCCCTCTGACAATGGTCTGAATCTCACCGAGGGGGTTGCTGGTGCTCTCGTTCTTCGTGAGGTGGGACTGGTTCTCGACCAGCAACATATTGTCGTAGTTGGTTGCGCTGAATAAGCTCTTTAATCTACTTCTTGAGTTGGAAACAGTCATCTGTGTCATAACCTTGGTCGCAGTGGAAACGATAGTATTTACTGGGATTTTGGCGCTTTGGGTTAGATTTCATCTTTCTGGGCCAACGGAGTGTGGGGTCATCCTGTATCTAGAATAGGATGTCTGAGGCATTGAATGGAGTGAAAGGCTGTCAATCTCTCGGTGGCAATGGTCCGTGACGATCTTCTACAGAGACTCTCTCAGCTTTTCTCCTCTTATTATCGGTCTCCCTCATGTCTTTTTGGGTATATTTTCTCTTTTCCCCTCCTCAAGAAGATTTACCCTGGCGGGCCATGGTGACGTCCTTGGCATTCGTGTATTTTTGTGCCTTGGACAGTAGCTTGGGCATGCTGGACGACTACTTCTTAAGTACGGAGAACATGAAACTAGAGGTGTGAAGACTAGCGATAAAGGTGGCCAAGGCTACCTTATTATTTGGCTCCTCAATCTGGAGAACCTCCTTATTGAAGCGGGTAAGGTAGTTTCTAAGGCTTTCATCCCTGTCATGCTTGATGGTGAGCAGGTGGGTCACTGGTTTATGATGTCGGTGTCCCCCAATAAAGTGGAAGACGAATGACCTACTTAACTCTACAAAAGAGCGGATGGAGGAGGGCCTGATCTTGGAGAACCACTGGCGGGCAAACCCCTTCAAGGTGGTAGGGAAGACTCTACACGTAATCTCCTCAGGCACGTTGTGGAGCTGCATGAGGGACTTATATGTGTCGAGATGGTCAAGGGGGTCTTTGGTGTCGTCGAAGGTCTCGATGGATGAGCATCTTGAACTTCGAAGGTAGAAGATAATTGACAATATCAGCAACAAAAGGCGTATTGGTACGCCTTATTAGGTAGTCCATGGTTTTAGGCGTCTGTGCCTTGATGGCGTTGAGGGCATCATTGAGTTGATTTTGCACCTCTCTAATCTTCTCGTCCCACTAATTTGGGACATCCTTAGTTGGGTGATGGTACTGGCTTTCATGGTTTCCATATTGGCTTTCTCTATCTTTGTTCTCCTACACAAGTTCATGAGGAGGGGGAACTCGTGAACTCCCTACGCACTGAGGAGGAACTACAGGACGAGGGGCGCCCTGGCGTAGCCTTGGAGTATTCTGGCAAGGGGAACCATGGTGGGGGGCTACCTGATGCCTAGAAAGGTTAGACTGCTGCTCTTTTCCAGTTGGAGGGAGTGAGACTCTTTCCAAGGGGTGAGGGGCGACACCATTTTGGGTGAACATCAGCTGGATGATTTGCTGGTTTTGCTTTACCAGCAGTTGCATAGTCTGTAAGAGCTGTTGTTGTTGCCCGATGACGAGAGTCTTGGCAGCAGATGGTTCTGAGGGTGCGAGGGGAGGCGGAGCCTCCTCCCGGTGGGTCGGGTTGTTGTCTCCCGGTTGTTGACTCACTGATCTGATAGTGATTGTCATGGATTGAAAGAGAGTAGAAAACTAATCGTTCCCACAGACGCGCGTTAAACTAAAAATGCACAAATTGGTATTGCGTAAATCAATAGTCGAATATATGTAAGGGTGCAATTTAATGAACAATAAATAAGCAATCAATGATAAAACAATAAATAAAGAATCAACGCCAAGATTTATAGTGGTTCAGTCCGGGTGACCTACTCCACTTTTGTGAACGGCAGCGGTGACCAGAGTTCTTTATTGATGAATAATGTCACCGAAAGAGTAACTTCAGGAGTATTACAATGCTTGAGAGAGAGAGAGACAAAAAGAGAGAGAAAATGTGTGTAGAGAGGTATGTGAGGTCTCAAGGTGATGAAGACATGCCCTCTATGTGGAGATGACTCACATTATATAGGCAGGGTGTGACGGTAACGTGATGAAGAAGACTTTTTCTACTATTTTGATAAGTAAGATTGGATCTCCGTATCTCGATATTCTTTCTTGGTGCTCCTATTCCGTCGGAGGAAGATCTTGGGCTGGATTGAACTTGAGCCTAAGCCTAGACTTGAGTTGGAGTGAGCTGGACCTGAATTGGAGTAACAAAAGTCAAGAGGGCGAAGGAGGATCAGGGGGCCAAGCCTGGGCGGCACCCCAATTGCTTTGGGCGTTGGCTTCTTCATGCTTTGGGCGTTGACTTCTTGATTTCTTTCTAGATTCCCTCCTGATGGGTTGGCCCAGCTTCCCTTGGGCTCTCTTTTGGGTCTTGATTATTTGAGCTTCTTGGTTTATTTTTATTGGGCCAGACCCAATTAATTTTGGGCTCATCATTTTTTATGAAACAGTCAATAAAACCGTCCCAAACCGATCAATTTTATTAACTCGTTCAAACTTGATTTTAGTTTTATTATAATAGATAACATAATTGTATATTAATTATGATTTTTTAAGAAAAAAATAAATTTTTAATTTTAATTTTATTTTAATAAATATCATAATAAAATATGAATTTTGGTTGTAAAATTAAAAATATTTAATATTCTATATTTGATTGATGTATTTTTTATCTAAATATAACATTTTAAATATAAGGGATTTAAGTATTATACGCTTACAAATTTTTAGGAGTATGGGGTCTGGGTGTAATTTATTAACAAATATACTATCGAACATTAACGATAGGAGTCTAAATATTACGTTACAAAAATTAAGGAATTTGTGAATAATATTTCAAACTGTTTTAAAGTATAAGTGATTAAGTGACAATGATCGGTCTTGTATTTTTATGATTGGTCTATATTACCCTCTTCATGACTAACATGTACAAAAATTTAGGTGGCGTTTGGTAACTGTTTTTTTTTTTTTCGATTCTGTATTCATTTTATGGCTAAAAAAAACAAAAATGCGTTTGGTGAATATTTGTGTTTGTTTTTTTAACATATCTATTTAAAAATAAGGTTAAAATATGGAAACATTTAAAAACATCCAAAAAAAAACATGCGCAGTTCAAAAATTTCATTTAATGAGATCCTAACTTTGATTCTCCTTAGCAACAAAAAGTGAATTTTTTTTGCTTTAGTATAAAAGCCCCTTCTTTCTGGTCTCTCTTGACTCCCTCGAATTTTTTTTTTCCAGGTCTCTCTCTCACTCTTTCTCTCTCGACTCACTCACTCTTTCTCTCACTTGCACACACACGCCCACGCTAGATGTTGATCGAACGCTTAGTTCTCGCCAAAGCCCTCCATCTTCGATACTTCACCCCAGCCACAACAGCTCTTCTCCAAGACTTTGGTGGTTGTGGTTGTGGTGGTGGAGGTGGGTTGTGAGTTTCAATGGTGGGGGTTGGATTGGGGGTGGGTTTCGGTGGTGCTGGGGGTAGGTTTTGGTAGTTGGATTGGGGTTGGATTTCGATGGTTGTAGTAGTGGTTTTTGGTGGTTGTGATTTTCGATGGTGGTGGGGGTGGATTTTGGTGGTTGTGGAGTTGAGTTTCAGTGGTGGGGTTTCGATGATTGTGGGGGTGGATTTCGGTGGTTGTGGTGGTAGGTTTCAGTAGTGGAGGTGGGTTGTGGGTTCGGTGGTGGGTTTGGGTGGTGGTTTTGGGTGGTCAGCGGAGTTAGGTGGTGAATTTTTGATATAATACTAAATAAGTTTTTCATTTTTGTTTTTACAATTTTTCAAATATAAATGACTACTAAACATATTTTATATTTTTAATTTTTATCACCAAAAAAAAACTGAGTTCTAATTTTTTTTTAAAAAAAACATATAAAAACAAAAATATTACCAAATACTCCTTTCAATAAATTAAATCGGATATCAATGACTGTGGACTAGTGAGCAGAACATCATTGGCTCACAACAGTATGGCGGTACAGTACCGCTAATTCCCATTCGGTACCGTAGCAGTCCCCAATTAAACCAACCATATTCCGTATTGTCGTTTCATGGGAGAGGAGGAAGAGCCAAATCTAGCCGTTGACGATAAAATAAAATCTAGCTGTTGAAACAAAAGCAAAACCAAACGACCCTCCGTAGTTGTTTCGTAGGAGACAGAAATGGCCAGTACTTCAATCGCATTATCGGCTCCAAACCCTTCTTGGTTCACCCCCAAAAGGTGCTTCTTTAATACTCCAGATATAGAAAAGCATTAATTTTTATTTTTTGGTTAAATTTTATGTTTGAAACAAAAGAGATATTACTCTTTTGAGACGGATAATGTTTTGGAAATTGATGTTGGGGGAAATTAGCACATCATTGTATTCGTTTGGGGATGAATCCATTTGGGTTATCGAAATCACAACGTTTGTTTTGTTGGATGCAATGGATAGAGGACAATTCTTAGGGTTAACTGTTCCGTTGCTTGTTTATTGAAAATTAATTGAGACCCATTAATTATATTTTGTTTGGTGCACCGTGTATCTTTATTGAGCAGAAAATAGTATAGTTTGTATGTCATTACCTGAACTAATTGCAGTGTTAATGCAACTGGCCTGTCATCTATCAGTTCCACTATTTTGGTTAGCTTAGATCTGACTGAGTTTATGTTGGTGTAATAAATTTCTCTTTGCTGTATTTTGTAGGTTACTTGGTATATTTTGTGTCATTAACTTGTTAAATTATGTGGATCGAGGAGCAATAGCAAGCAATGGTGTAAATGGGAGTCCCAGAACTTGCACACAAAGCGGTACATGCTCATCTGGCAGCGGAATTCAGTTAGTCTTACTTTGAACCTTCTGTTTAGTCTTATAATGTTGTGTTTCTTCTATGTTGTAATTCTGAAATAATATTTGTCTTCTTTTTCTTATTGTTTGTTGTTTACTTATAAAGTTATAATAGACATACAATTCTCAGGATACATGTTCCCATATTGTGAGAAGCTGATTACAAGAAATGGCAAAAAGCTTTGGTGGTTGATCCAAAGATTTGGGACTGATTCTTGCCTCAATAAATTTATTTATCCTTTCGTTCTTTTTGGTGTGCGCAAGGTTTGATGGAGCTTACCCATTTTGGCTGCTCTAAACATGAAAAAAATGACTGAATCTTTCTTATAAAAATGAATGATGTTTTTATCTTTCCTTTGGTCATATTATGTTAGAGCAACAGTAGATATCCATTTAAAGCAATTGTCAACTGGTTGACGTTGAGGCGGTGCATTAAAAAAATATACACTAGCTCTTATTACCCATCCAATAATATCTCCACACCTCTATTTAGTGCCCAACTACATGTTAGTAAGATTACCATTACTAGAGCTCATATTCATCCATCCTTCATAATTCCTTACCTGTTTGAGTATAATTCCTCGTCATTAATTTTTCTTTGTTTTAGTAAGCATAATTTTTGTTCATTAGTTATCTCTTTTAAGTATTTATTTCCACTTATTTTGAATTTCTTGTTATATGCAGGGGTGATTTTAACTTGAGCAATTTTGAAGATGGGGTTATATCTTCTGCTTTCATGGTTGGACTTCTTGTGGCATCTCCAATATTTGCATCTTTGGCAAAGAGGTAATAAGCTCAGTGTGATGCAATAGTTGCCCCCTCATTATGGCCTTGATGTTAAGCCAGAGGGCAAAATTTCAAGCTTAATTTGTAATACATTAAACTAGTGAACAAAAATAAAGAGAAAAATTCAACAAGTGGAAAAGATATCTCTTATGGGAGAATGATGACTGGATAAAAGCCAATGGTGGGACAATGGGAGTAATATAGGTACAACTAAGCCTGGCACAGTACTTGACAATGGTAATGGTGCTACAAAATTGACCATTTCATGAAAGAAATGTGAAACATTAATTGTACAATCTTAACAATCTTGAAGTTGTGGGATCAAAACTAGAAGCGAATATTTTGAATAAATTGTCAGCAAAAGTTAGGTTTGACCCAGTCAACTGCTCCCAACGCACTCCACTAATGGATCAAAGCGGGTTCTATTCATCATATCCCTCTTACATTTTTTTTTTTCGGTTAGATAATACTTTTGATTCTGCAAAACTACAAAGCATCACAAGTACTTTTTCCAATCATACGATTCAGTAACTAACTGAGTGTGCTCCTTTTTTAAACTACATTATTCTTCCACAATTTTCTCTGAAAATGCTAAATATGAAGTCTTTATTCATGAAACAAGATTTCAAGCTTCCCCCCCTCCCCCCTTAAAAATAGAATATTTTATTGATAAATAGGCTGTCTATAAGAAATATATAATAAAGAAAAGGTGAACAAATTGATCGATGCAAAAAACAAAAACATTACAAAGTGAATAAAAGCCAAACTCTAAATCACAGAAAGCTTCCATCACTTTGCAGATTTTAAGTGCTTGGGGGACTTGAAGCAACGTTGTGTGAAAAAAATTCTTTTTTTGCCAGCTTCCTATTTGGCCTCTCACGAATCATAGGACTTTATATCGAAATTCATCGAATGAAGCACGAGTCTTTTGTTTTTTGAATTCGTTTAAATTTCATGAAAAAATCATCATTCTGCCTTCAGCATCATAGTTTGCCATATTGCATCCCACCCCTTCCCGTCATGGTGGGTGTATCGTAGTTTGCCATGTAAGTTGCTCTTGATTGGTGAAACAGTAAAAAATTTTGCCCTTTGACAAAGAGATTAGTTGGAGCTTTTGTACTAAATGTGATGATGAATTGTCCTGATTGATTTAATTTCTCCTGGTACTTTTGTGGGCATGAAATTCGCAGCATCAATCCATTTAGGCTTATTGGAGTTGGATTGACAGTCTGGACTTTCGCTACAGCTGGTTGTGGTTTTTCACTTGATTTCTGGTCCATTACCATATGCCGCATGTAAGCTGATTCATTACTTGCCTTCAATGGGGGGTTGTAGCCCTTGAATATATTTGTTTGTTTCAATGGTCATAATTCATCAGTCGTTCCTTTGAACTTTTGTTCATTTTAGGTTAGTGGGTGTTGGTGAGGCTTCTTTTGTAAGTCTTGCAGCTTCATTCATTGATGATAATGCTCCAGTTGCTCAGGTTTGTTCCTCCCTATCCATCTTATGGTTGACAGGTGATTGTTTAAAGATCCAAGCTTGGCTTCTTTTTTGAAAAAATGGATTTCGCCATTTCTCATTGTAGGTATTGATTTCCTGATGCAATCAGTATCCAACACTGGGTCATTCTTGTTATTTTTGTACTTATGGTTTTGGTAGAGGCTATAAATAAGCCTCTGAGGGTGCAACATGGGGAGGCTGAAAAAATTTAAGACTTTGAGTCCTTGACAGCTTCTCTCTCCCCGCTCCATCTCTTTTCTACCCTTGTCGATTGAAGGCTATTTTAAGGTTTTCTCTCTCTGCTCTCCTTGACATTTTAAGGCTCCCAGTGTCTCTAGGATATCCACATTTCTTGATTGTCTCTCTCCTCAATTTCTTATGGATTCTTCCCAAATTAGTATATATGAACGTGGAGAAAGCAGCTGTGTATGATCTTTGCATGCCTTGTGTTCGGTCAAAGTTCTAGAGCCTAGTCACAAATAATTTCCTCCAGCACTTTTTGGGGTTTTCAAAGAATTAAGTTCTTTAACATACAAGTTCTTTTGACACTTTTGTATCTGTCCTGCTTTCTTTCTGGAAACTGGAAAGAAGGTCCCTCTCTTTTTTCCACTTCGTATGAAATAAGTGTGATGTTGCTTAGTGATGACCTTATTTCTTGGATGTGTTTCTCACCCTTTTTTTGACTGAGCAATTCAAGTCATTCCCCACCCCAATAAATCTCATGTTATTTAATGTCAAACATGGCACATGAACAATATTTGAAGTATAAACATTAGAGTGAAGGTACAAGTGGAGATTTTCACAGTGACCCCAAATTTGAGGCCCTACTCCAAAGCTTTTTAGCATTTGGGTTTATCCTAATGACAATCTTGTCTGAATCAGTCCTACACATGTTGAGACTGAATTGTATTGAAATTTAATATGCTTCTTTAGCACATAATCTATAGATTTTTTGCATTGTATTTCTTACATTTGCACCATCTTATACAGAAGACAGCATGGCTGGGAATATTTTACATGTGTATACCATCTGGAGTTGCACTTGGCTATGCTTATGGTGGATTGGTGAGTACATGTCTCGTTTGATGTAAAAAATGAGGCTTCTTTCCGCAGAAGGTTATCCCAGAATGAATAGGTCATTTGTGGATTTATAGTGATTCAACCTGACATGTGTGACCATGTGACTTTGATCATATCAGTTAACTGTCTCTTCTTCTGCCACTTGTATTATTCATATCCTACATATCTTACTCCTGTTTGGAGATGTCAATTAATTAGCTTCTTTCTTTTATGTTCTATAGGTTGGAGGTCATTTGAATTGGCGTTGGGCATTCTGGGTGGAGGCAATTTTGATGCTTCCATTTGCTGTTTTAGGTTTTGTTATGAAACCTTTGCAGTTGAGAGGTGCATATTAAGTTAGGTGTTGGTTTGTTGTTATCCTGTTTTGTGTTTCCTGCTGTTGTATAATGATTTGGGATACAGGGTTTCCTCCCGCTGGATCAAAAAACGAGAAGACAGCTGTGGAGATAGCCACCTCAGAAGATCAAGGTGCTCCACCTTATGATCAATATGTATGATAGTTATACTTGCAACTTCATTTCTCTTTTTAGTTGAATTACATCCATTGTGTGGGATTCTAAATGGATTGTTTTAGGAGCTTAATCATTTTAATGGGATTCAGTATGTAGTAGTACGACACCTTATTTAACTGTACTCTTATGAAACAGCTGCTCATTACAATTTGGCTTTTAATTTTCTAATAATAGAGTTGGAATGCTCAGGGAAGTTTCTTAATGGTTGTTCGAAAGTTTGATGGTAGATAAACTCCTAAAAAAAGCTTTGATGTGGATTGATGTATAGGAACCATGTATTAAAATCTAAACGAATCTCTATTATGTATCAAGTTACTGTCTAAATATTTTTTTCCTGGACCAATTCTAATGGTAAAACTACTAATTACGTCAGGGACACAATAAGTTATTGATAGTTTACACAACTCTTATGGTTACAAAGGAATAAGAAATGTAAGTCTTAAATGTGTTTTTTTTTTTCTGTCTTTACTCAAGTGAATGCTCTTGATTTTGTCCTGAATTTAGTTTTTTTTTTTCCCTTCAAGGCTACTTGAAAGGTAGCACCTTTTTTTTCCTTTAAGCACTTCTTTTACAGAGTAAACTTTTCCATCATCCATCATTAATTGATCTTAATACTCGCTATAAATGCAGATATTTCCTATGGTAAAGGTTGTGCATTGTCCATAAAGGAAGAGTCCTCAGATCAAAGCTCAATTAAACCTTCCAGGTGGGGCTCTCCTCCATGAGCCCGTTATTTGTTAGCTATGATTGCCTGCCTATGGTTGGACAGATATTTTGGTTTCCTGTCATGTAAATGTTGCATAAATTTTTTTTTGTGATCATCACTGTCATTTTAAACAGTGAAAAAGCACGAGTTCTAAAACTTGTTATGAATTTGTTTCTACTGGATTATGTTTTTACTGCAGGTCCAATGGTTCACGCAATAACTTGAATCAGTTCTCAAGAATCTGGAAAGATATGAAAGTGCTTTTGGTTGACAAGGTTTATGTTGTAAATGTCCTAGGTATATCATTCAAACTAATTCACCTACAAGCTAGTTTTTTTTTTCGTCGAGAGATGGCCATTAGATGTTTTGATATGACATTTCTATAATATTGTAGTGTGTGGTGATTAATTTTGTGTTCGTCTGACATGTTGTCTTGAAAAAACACTGTTAACATATCAAGAAGCAAATAGTTATGGTAGATATCAATTCCATATAACACAGTCGTCGTAAATTCAGCAGTCCCTTGCTACTCTTCAATCTTCATGCTAATGTTTCTACTGCAAATTGCTATTTGCAGGTTACATAGCATATAATTTTGTCATAGGTGCATATTCATACTGGGGGCCAAAGGCTGGTTATAACATATATGATATGGTAAGCTCACAACCATGTTTGATGCAGTGATTGCTTATTTATATGATGCAATTTACCCAGTGTTTCTTTCCTAATTCTTCTAATTTTACTTCCTTGCATAGTGATATGCTTCTTTTTGAAAGAAGAAAACAACAGAAAGCCTGAGTTTCTTAATTTTTTGTTATATTTGAAATTTGGGTCTTTGCAGAGCAATGCAGATCTAGTGTTTGGAGGAGTTACAGTTGTGTGTGGTATATTTGGGACACTAGGTGGAGGTTATGCTTTGGATCTTATGACTTCCACAATATCTAATGCATTTAAGGTATGCGTACTAATTCTAAATCTAAGTTTATGACGAATTTCCTTGGTACATCTTATGTAGGTGTGTCCAGCATGGATATTCTGTATACCAAATGTGAATTTATTTTGACACAATTGCTTAAATCTTAATTAGTAGATAGTCATAGTCCTTCCTCCTCCTTTTTCTATTTCCTCTAATATTTAATGAATCCTATGTATTATGGCATTTTAGCCTTCTTGTATCCTATATAAATTAAACACGTCATTTTTCAGTTAATTTCTTAGTAAAACATTCTTATGTTATAATAACTGTTTATGATAGGGAGAATGAGTTTTTCTGGAGTATTTATTTGTTTGCCCCTTTTCATCCAAATTTTGTTCTTTTGGAGATTCTTCTAATTGCATTTCCAATTGATGATTCACAATAGAACTTTGCCATGAACTCTATTGTGGTGTTTAGTCTGGTGATTTTCTTGATCACTGTGAACAAATATACTTTCTTCAGCTGATAGCGTATCGGCCCTCAAAAACTGGCCTGCAAGCAAATCTATACTTGGGTCCTAACCAGTTGTGGTAAATTGCCAACAAAGAAGTGCATTCGTATTAGTGATACTGGAAATCGTATCTGTAGGAGTTTTTTTTTCATATTATTCACGTAAATAGATGCTAGTATTTGGTTTTGATATTCAACTGTGTAGTCTTCATTAAGTATGGTGGAGTCGTTAATGTTCAATTATCACTCCAAATTTTCATCTTACATAAGTCTAATATATTCCTGGTTGATACTGGTAAATTCTTTGCATTTTGTGCAGCTTATTTGTGCAGCTGCATTTATGGGAGCAATATTTTGCTTTAGTGCCTTTTGTTTTAAGAGCCTGTATGTTTTCATAGTTCTTCTCGCAATTGGAGAACTGCTAGTATTTGCAACCCAGGTAAATTGCTATTCCAGTAGAAACTGTCTGTTGTTTGTGTCCTTTTGATATTGAAACTGCAGCTAAAGGTTGTTCATCAGTTTACAATCGTGTAAAATTCAATGGCTCCCCTTGATGAGCACTCACTCTCAATTAAAAATCAAGTTCACTTGTAAGTTGGTCTTCTAGTTGAGATGTGAAACTGTTGTTCCACAAGTTGCATCCTTGATGAACTGAGACATGTTAACTTAGATCTTACTAGGAAGTGGCATTATTTTCATTATACTAATAAACCGCATAAAAATGTTATTGAATTTTCTCCTGCAAAGATAGGTTTGATTTCATTGTAGTCAATTACAAATTATCAATGGCAAGCATTTAAAAAAAAATCAATGCGATCCATTTCATTCTTTTGCTGTATTTTTCACTTTGTTTCTTGCTTCTGGACAGCATCTTTCATTCCATATTACTTTACCCTAATTTCTAGCATGGTGGTATTGTTAGACAATGCTTTTTTGTTGAATATCCAAAGCTGACTTGGTGCCACAACTTGGTTGATTTTTATCTTTTTCCCCCTTTTGGAATGTTATCATCCCAGCATCGACCTATGGAGTTATACTTAGTTAAGTAGGTTACAATGGTCCTGCTCTTGGTTGGATCCTTTAAATCCCAAGGTTATAGTTTTAGATGAACACTGGTTTCCTGAAATCATCGATATAACATGACCTGTTGATTTCCATAGTCAATAGATTGTTTGACTGTTTCCAACTTCTTGTCATTATGAAAATGTTTAAACCTTCCAGTTTTGCTGTGCCAATGGTATTGATAAAATAATCGTCTTTGTAAGTCAATGTTCCAAGTCCTCACTTGCAATTACAGTATTAACATTCTATATTTTGTCACTGCAGGGTCCTGTAAATTTCATATGTCTTCATTGTGTTAAACCAGGTCTTAGACCACTATCAATTGCTGTGTCAACTGTCTCAATTCACGTCTTTGGTGACGTGATTTCCTCCCCACTTGTTGGGGTTCTCCAGGTTTACCCTAGTAGTCTCTGTACTGTGTTGTTTCATTACTTCTCCATCTTATTTGCTTTTGCCTTCTATGAAGTTTTTAGCTTTCACATTTTGAGATAATGAAATTGCTTTGGAACTTTAAAAATGCTCAGATCTGTACGTAAACAACCCTTACTTTGGACAAATCCTGCAGGATAATGTTAACAACTGGAGGGTGACTGCTCTGATTTTAACGTCTGTTATGTTTCTGGCAGCTGCAATGTGGTTTATCGGTACTGTCAATTTCCTTCTTGTGTCCTTAGTTTAGAAATCCACCAAAGTTAACAATTGGAACCTTTGCAAGTAGGGGGTTCAACTGAACGTAATCTGGCCGAGCACTCACTGTTCAGAATCAGCTCGTTTATTTGCAAAGAGTGTTCTGGATCATGACAATCTTTAAACATTTTGTTTGAACTCGGCTCCTTAATTTTTGATTAAATGAATTAAACCCGAGCTTGTGTGAGTTTAAACTAGAGTTCAAACTTGTGTTCAAAATCACCTTGGCTCATTTACATTTGGTTACGACTCTAATGAGGGGGAATCAACTCATTGCTCGAGCTTGACTCGTTATTTAACAAAGCTTTAAAATCAAAATCGAACTTGGTTATTCAAGCAGATCTTAAACTGTTCATGAACAGATATCAAACTATTTATGAAAATCCCCTTTTATTTGCAAAGGATGCTTTGATAATAATGCAGTCTGTTTTAGGACACTACTATTAACGGGCTTCCAACAACCCACCAAAGCACTTGGTGTAAGTTCTAAATTACCTATCAACTAACAAACTTGTGAAATCCATCTTTTCTTTTGGCAGGGATCTTTCTTCAGAGTGTGGACAGATCTGATGAAGATATTGAGCATCCGGGCTCCATGTACGACGAGTCAAATACAACACCTTTGCTTGAAGAATGCCACAAAGACCACTGTGTCTCTCTGCCTGAACCCTAATTCCTTGCCAGAAGAACAAGTTAGTTGGTTCTTCCCGGGCCTGGCGCAAATATTATGTACATCCGTTGCTTTTATGTATCATTGTCAATAAAATAAGTGTTTTGAGAGTTGAAGGGTGTTATTTTAACTTTATGATAATTTTTAGGGTTTTTTGTACTTTGCATTCCGAAAGATTTTAAAATTTTCACTTTATACTTTCAAAGATTAAATTTTTTACATTGCACCCATAGTATGTCAAAAGTATTACAATGCGACTCTTCCGTTATTTTATATTATTTTTTTCGTCAAAAGTTAACCCACTTACACGGATAAAAAAATTAATAGAAATAACACATTATAACATTTTTGATACATTAAGGATGTGATATGAAAAATTAATCTTTGAAGGTGTAAAGTAGAAATCTTGAAATCTTTCAGAGTACACCGTGCAATTTATCCTAATTTTTATGATATTTATATATTTTAGGAATGATATTGCCATTCCGTTTATTCTGTTACCAAAATAAGGGATTTTTTAATTAAGTTGGTGGTTAAATGGTCTTTTTTTTATTTTTTTTTATCCAAAAAAAATAAAAAAATGAAGTATCTATTTTCGACTACAACCATAGGAAGTATTTTTTATTTTACTGGAATGAGAAAGAGAGCACCCCAATTTTACCACGTTGATCCTTGTACTTGTGGACAGGTGTCAAACACAAATGAGCGTAATTAAGACCATTTTTTTTGGGTCAATTTTGACCATTTTAAATTACTAAAATAAAATTTTAGGGGTTGTTTGATTTGTGTTTTTTGTTTCATGTTTTTTATTTTTGTTTTTATTTTTTGTGAAAAACAAAAATAAAAATTTGTTTGGAATGTGTTTCTATATTCTTTTAGATAAATTGTTTAGAAAGCAAGAAAAAAAAAAAAATGTTCTAAAAAACAAGGATAACCGAAAACACGCGGCTGCACAATTAATGAGATCCCTCATTCGAATCCAATTAGTAACAAAATAAGAGTTTTTTTTTTGTGTTGATTATAAAAATCATTTTTCCCCTTTCTTCTTTTTTTTTTTTTGGCTCATATCTCTCTCTATAGAGACTCACTTTTTCCAACAAAGACGAAGAATCTCAAACGAGGACGAATATCTCAGACTAAAATAAAGATGAAAAACGAAGATGAAACCAATTTTTTTTTCTCTCTCTCTCTCTATATATATATATATATCAGTGTTTTAAAACCCGGCCAGACTCGACGAGTCAACTCGGTGAACCGGACCCTTAACCGGTCCGGGTCAATTAAAAGACCGTTTGTGTAAGGAACCCGGACTAAACCCGTTGAACCGGTCAAAAACTGGTAAACCCGTGAGAACCAGATAAGTTTAACAAACCAACCAGTTTAAGTTCCTTCCTATAAATCTGAGATTTTTTTTTATTTTGACATTTTCCCTTTTTTGTTTTGTCCTAAATCGTTCCACTTTCACTAGACGAGCAGCCTCGCAACGCCTCCACCACCAACCAGCTATCAGACCATCCTCGCCATGCCTCCACCACCAACCAGCGACCAGACCAGCCTCCACTCCAGCACCAGCAACGATCAGACCAGCGAGCAGACCACCATGCAGCAGCGGTTGAGCAGAGCTCCACCAACGATTGAGCACAGCCTCCATCAGCGACGAGGTGAGTTCCCTCCCCCCTTCTCCCTCTCCCTACTGTCTACTGACTCTACTCTCTCTCTCTCTCTCTCTCTTAGAATATATTTGTGGGTTGGCATTTTTTTTTTGTGGGTTACGAATATTTGTTGGATTTATGGCCTTATGTTTGTTACTCCTGTAATTGTTCGTTAGTCCAGTCCTCAGTCTCTTTTCTCTCTCTCTTTACTTCTCCCTCTCTTTCTCTCTTTTAGTCTCTATCTCTCTCTTTTCTTTGCACTGCGCCGAAGTCGAGGTAGGAGAGATTCACTGGCCAGAGCTCCATCGCCGATTTCCATTTCCTAGCATCCCTCAAGTGTGAAATAGCACACAACATAGTAGGTACTTCCTCTTCTCTCTCTCTCCCTGTAGTCTGAAGTACTCTGCGTTGTGGGTTTGTGGGGATGCTCCAGTTTAAGGATTTAATAGTTCACTGATAATGACCGCATGCTCTAGATTGGTAGATCTATTATAATAGGTAGATCCTCAATTATTTTGTGTGATGGATTTTCATTTTTAGTTTGCTGCAAAGTTTTGCTTTGAAGTGTATGTCATACGTTGATGTGGGTTCAATTCAATGGTTGTTTATGTGTGTTTCTCATATTTTCCCATAATTAAGAATGATTTGTAACCCCTCCACCACAAATAAATTAAATACTGAAAAGCTAAAAACAATAGAGAAGAAAGTGGATTCATGTTTGATAATTTTGGGGCTTTTGTTTCATCAAATATACATTAAGCATGTTATTTTTACAATTATTGTGAATTTTTAGCCTATTTATTATCATTAATAATTTTTTTTAATTTTTTAATTATATTACTGGTTGAACCAGTGATTCATTGACCCGGTCCCTCTTCCGGGTTAATGTCCGGGCCGGGTTTTAAAACTATGATATATATAGACATAGATCTACAGTTTGTCATTGTGTGTAATTGCTGTGTGTGAGTGCGTCTGTGTTGTGTGTGTGTGAATGTGTTGTGTGCGTGGGTGGGTCTTAATGCGTCAATAAACATGTGTATATGTTGGGTTCAATTTTTTAGTGCATATATGTTGAATATATGTTCAGTTGAATATAATGATTTCCAAGCATATTTTTTTATTTTTCAGTTTTTATCACAGGCAAAACAAAATATTACCAAACAACCCTTAATTTTTGATCCCTTTGAACTCACCCTCAAGTCCTTTCAAGTTTCAACTACGGAAATCAAGCCCATCGAAATTCGAGCTACATGACTCAAGGGTGCCAACAGATTACCTTTCAGATACCAACACTCCAATCCATTCAAGGAGCGCCCACAAGTTTCTCTCTCTCTCTCTCTCATATAAATAGAGACCCCCAGTCTGTAATTTCTATCTCACCAGTCTCAACATTTTCTATTTTGGCATTGAAAGCAATGGCACCAACGGCAGCTATGCTCATACTGGGTTATAACAGCAGATCAGCTTCACACCAATCTCCTCCTCCTCCTACTCCCCCATCAACTGCACCAGTTTTCCAAGTGAAGGCCTTGGCATTGAAGTGGCTTTCAGACAATTCCATAATTCAACAAACGTCTGAAACAAAGCAGGCCATGGTGAGTCGGTCGTCTTCATCTTCGGACTCTGCTGTGGAAAAGAGGTATCAAGAAGTCCTTGAACTCAGCTGCTGGTAAATACAGATTGGCAACAGACCAGGTCCTGTGAGGTTGCTAAAGCAAGGTCCTACTCGTGTAAATTTTCTGTGAATGTTGACAATTTATCATGTACTGATTTATAGGAACAATAATCTCGCTCTCTCTCTCTCCTGTTAAACCATGTTATTGCAATAATAACATATATTCCAAACATTTGCCAATCAAAGGGTTCAGTTATATCCAGGTCCATCGCTCTCTCTCTCTCTCTCTCTCTGTGCAACCGCACTACTCCGTGCCCTCCTAATCAGTGATTATAACACACTCCAAATGCATGGAGCCACCCGCAAAACCCATACATTAGATAAGTCCAACGAGCTAAATTTCGTTTTGAAATGGTGGAAACGTTTCCGTTTCTATGAAACTGAAACAAATCATGATTGAATATTAAAATTTCTATGTTTCAATTGTTTCCATCGATGTTTCAAAAATAAATTTTTAAATTTTTTCTTTGTTTCCATCTCGTTTTCAAAACATTATTTAAATGTTTTTGTTTTCTAGCTTAGTAAAATTATGTATTGAAACAAAATTTTGATCTGTGGATAAGCTGAGATTCTAGCCACCTAGAATTCCCTTACAACACAATTGATCAAATGGTAACAAAAGAATCACTTTGGTGTCACGGTTAAAAAGCTTGTAAAGTACAGAAAAAATTTAGCATACGAGAAATAAGAGTTCCTGAATAAATGCAGCTCAATAATGGAAAAATCTCTTTCATGTAAACAAAGAAATATTACCATGACTCGCCAAAGAGATCTATGGTATATCCCAAAGAACATATGCAGAAGCACCAGCAGCAGATCATACCCAACAATTCGCATTACATTTCGAAAAAAAAAATTCGCATTTACACAAGGGAAAGCTCCCCAGAAGGAGTAGATCTTTTGACAAGTTTGGCCCAAGACTCATTGGCTTCAGTAATGACTTGCAGAGCATAATCCTGTTTATCAGAAAGTAATTCAACTTTACTAGCAAAGAACAGAATGATATGCACTACATATTTATCGGGCATATCTTGGTTGGCATGTGATTATCTTTTTTTTGTTTTGTTCAATAGTCAGGGGTGTCTGAGTCAATTTTTACGCACTTCGATTAATCCTCTCTCTAATCCAATCAAAAACAGGTTATTCCCTCCAGAATTAGAATATTCATGGAAATAAATCCCTCATAACTTGACTGTCAAGATTGACTGTCAAGATTCGAATTCATTTGAGACGTTTGGATTTAATTAGCTCGTTTCTATTACCATTTGAGTTACCACTTTGAGAGATTGTTGTGAGAGCAGGCACCCACATCAATTCTAATAAATACAAAATCATTTTGTTTTCCATTTTTGTGATGCAGTTTTTCCCCTTCTTTTTCACTTTGAGGAGAGATGCTGGTTGTGAGAGCAGGCACCCACATGGGCAATTCTAATAAATACAAAATCATTCTACGTACAAAGTCCCACGACTCTATAACTCACCACCGAGTCCCATTATATAAACAGCATGGATAACATAAACAAAACACTGCTTCGTATCTTATTGAAGTTTAAGTGAACAACATAACATGGTTAAACTCATTGAGCAATTCTTATACATGTATAAAGTAACACACATTTGTTATACTCAGTTTCAGACTTTTTCATGTATATAATCCGTAAGTAATCGAAATGTGA